AATAGCCTTAACAAAAATTACTCTGTAGATGGCTATCTGGTATCCAGAGTTGGTCAAATAAAAGACCTCGGGCTCCTTATTATGAGATATACAGGAGACAGATTGAAAGAGTACAGAGGAAAATTCCTTCGCCTTGTCGCTTTCAAACAGTGTGTTCAGGGGGAAAATGTAGTCTATAGTATAGAATCTTCCATCAATATACTATCCTTTTATAAAATGATCAACTCGCTAAATGATGCCCCTGACTTGCTTCGGACTATAGGTCTCTCTATTCGACAAAGAGCTCTTAGAGCTCACGGCTTATTTCAGGTAACATTATTATAGTCCAGGAGGCAGTGAAATTTTTTAGCACTTACTTTCCCAGTTGGTGTCTATTTAAATAGTTTGTTCTCCTGGGCTGCGTTCAGGAATGGCTACAGCCAAGCCAAAATTGGCATTTTGCATTCGAGTTCGGCTCAAACCTACGTGATTCGGCATTACCGGTGGAGGGGGAAAAGTAGGTTTTGGCATTAGCATTGCCGTCTTTGAACGCACCCCTGGTGATACAAAGCAGGAATTTTTGAATCTGGCTAAAATTTTCGGATGGGTTCACAAGATCAATGAAAAATACAAGTACACTTATTTTCCCAGACATAAATATTTCACATTTACTACAATAGAACATAAATGCCATGGTCCGAATATAACCAAACGTTAACCAAAGTAACCTAATCGGTTGACAGATGGTTACTGAAAATTTCGGTTACTTGGGGAACGCGAATATGAAATAAAGAATAATTGACAGAATTTAAAGATAAAACCAACAGAACCGACATTCGATAGCCGGTAACTATTTTGACATTTAGTTAACCAGATTTCAGGAAACCAAGGTCCAAAAGTAACTACTTTTCCAGAAACCAGAGTGATTTGATTACTTCCGGACCGCGAAACCTTAACCATGGTTATATTCGGACCACAGCCAAAGTATATGAAAATAGCAATTTGGCTTATCTCAGTTAGTGGAAGTGAGTCTGGCTGAAAATTTTCGGATCTTCAATTTTTCACTTGCCAGACATATTATCCATACTCACAGATTAGCCGGACTATTTTTTTACGTAACTTCAGTATGCTTCTTATTAGTAGACCTATTTTCATCACTGAGAAAAAAAAGGGCCATGCATTCGTAAGCTTTAACGTATTTTGTGCCTAAACCCATCGGAAAACCACCCCCCAAAATATATGTATTTTGCTCAGAATTACTAACCCTACAATTCTATCCATATGGTTTGACTGGGAAAATAAGTACCGAAAATCGTCACTGCCTCCTAGACTATTATTATTAATATTAAAAACAAAATATACCCGCGAATGAATGTGAACGCATTCTTTCATCCATATGTGGACACAATGGCATTAGGAAAAGCCGAACAAAAAGTGATGCGATTCAGTTTGTTCATCCTCTGCCTACCCAGCAAGACAGTCTTTAGTGTGGTAAGGGCTCGATATGCCCTATGTTTTATTTCAGGTCTTACATAATGTTCTTGTTCTACATAGCCATAATTTCACTGGAATGATCTATAATGAGGTAGAATAGTGTTTTTGCCTTCTTGATATTTTGCTCTATGTGCTGCTCCTTGCTCCCATTTCCAATCCTCTGAGATAATGATTCCTAAATCTTTGTGACTTCAAACTTTGGTGACTCCTGATTGGTTGAATAAGTATGTATGTATTCGATTGTTATGGCGCATTTGGTGTATGATTCGCATTTCGTATCAATGGAAGGCACCTTTGTTGTATTGCTGAATACAGTTACAAAATCTATTTGGATGGAATATTTGTTTTCAGGTCCACATGGATCGCTGAGGTAGAGCTGGAGTCTGGACCAAGTCGATCGGAATTTTATCAGAAGCTTTTTCAAAATACAGTGAGACAACACCTATCAGTTGCTGATTATCGTCAGCATATGTCCATGTCCGTAGCATAGAGGTTATTGATGTGGTGTTGACTATCACTGGGTGAATTTTTGGAGAGGAAACTCATTCGCTAATTCAAGAATGGTATGGTTATCAAAAAAAACTGTTTCGAGTACCTACCTACCATTATATTTTTTCTATTAATTCGCAGATAATACTGGTAAAGGCTGATTGGTATGTAGTTTTCTGCTAGCTGTTCCTCCCCCTTTTCGAATTGCTTTTTCCCAGGTCTCGAGGAAAAGGACCAGTACCAAAGATGCTGCTCATTTATTACTTGTGATAATATCTCGTATTTGGTCCAGTCCCAGACGGGTCGAAAGTTTACTTTCGACCTGTGGGGCGAAAGTGAATGAAATTTTTAAAATGTATTATAATTTTTGACTTTTACTTTCGGCTCACGGGTCGAAAGTTTACTTTCCTTCCGTGGGCCGATAGTGAATGAAATTATTAATTATTGTATTTTTTTAGTTTTAATTCAAATAAAAATTTCAAAATTCGAATGATTGTAAATAAAATACTATACATACCTCGGTGAAAAGTTTCATTACTGTCTCGAGATTTTAGTTAGACCTCGGCTGCGCCTCGGTGTAACTAAAATCTCTCGACAGTAATGAAACACTTTCCACCTCGGTATGTAATATACTATTTCAAAGTTCTGAAAAGTTTCCTTTATCTTTTCGAAAAAAATTTATAACTTCCGTAGGTACTAAAATAAATTATAGATAACTCACCTTGGGTGATGGCTCAAACAAGATAAATAGATAAACATACCTACATGTGAACACATTATACAGGGTGTCACGAAAGGTTTGTTACAAACTTCTAGGGATGGTAGATCTCGTAAAAATAAAACTTTTTTCTTGATAAACATGTGTCCGGAAATGCTTCGTTTTCCAGATATACAGGGTGGCCCAAATTTGAGCCTCATCATTGAGATCTCTCGGTAACCGTAAGAGATACGGGGTCGGTTAAATTATGGCAAAATTGCGAAATTTTATGACCAATAGAATACCGTTTTGAAACTAGAAAGATTCCGAATACTTCCGGAGATATTCTTTTGAAATTTTGAAAAATAGTTTTTTTTTTTTCCCGGGCATTTGAAAAGCAATTTTAAAATAAATGTCACTTCATCATTGTCACTTCTTCCCCTTTAGAAGATGGTGATACTAAATTTTAAATTCGACGTTTCGTCTTCAGGCGGCCATCCTTAACTTACGTTTTTTAAATACGAACCTAGATTTTTTATTTGCGATTTTGTCATCTTTGGGCATCCTAAAACCGATACTGTTTATAATTTTTCAATAACACGATAAAAAAGCAGGTCCGTATTTGAAAAACGTCGGATTTCAAATTTTATACTGCCATCTTGTAAAGAAGAGAAAGTGACAATGGGAATGTGAAATTAGTTTTTCAAAATCTTTTTAAATGAAATCAGGAAAAAATTTAAGAAAAACGAGAAATTCATGTTTTTTTTCGTATAGTTTTCATTTTTTCCTGATTTTATTTAAAAAGATTGTGGAAAACTAATTTCACCTTGCCATTGTCACTTTTTCTTCTCCACAAGATGGCGGTATTAAATTTAAAATCCAATGTTTCGTTCCTTTGAAATCATCATTATTTTTTTTTTAATAAGGACCTGCTTTTTTTGCTGTGTTATTGAAAAATTATAAACAGTATCGGTTTTAGGATGCGCAAAGATGACAAAATCGCAAATAAGAAATCCAGGTGCGTATTTAAAAAAAAGGGAGTTGAGGATGGCCGCCTGAAGACGAAACGTCGAATTTTAAATTTAGTAGCACCATCTTTTAAAGGAGAAAAAGTGACAATGATGAAGTGACATTTATTTTAAAATTGCTTTTCAAATAAGCCCGGGAAAAAATAAAAACGATTTTACAAAATTTTGGTTTTTTCCGAATATCTCCGGAAGTATTCGGAATCTTTCTGGTTTCAGAACGGTATTCTATTGATCATAAAATTGCGCAACTTTGCCATAATTTAACCGACCCCGTATCTCTTACGGTTACCGAGATCCCAATGATGAGGCTCAAATTTGGACCACCCTGTATATCTGGAAAACGAAGCATTTCCGGACACATGTTTATTAAGAAAAATGTTTTATTTTTACGAGATCTACCATCCCTAGAAGTTTGTAACAAACCTTTCGTGACACCCTGTATGTAAGCAATTAACACGGGGTATACAATAATGTCATAAATACTAATTTCACATCCTATGCCATCTGCCATCATAATAAACTATGGCAAATAGGTACAGTAGTGTCGCGATAATCCGGATCAATTAAAACCAGACCAATCCGGATTATCAAATTATTCGGATTACTAAGGCATTTTACAGTTCGCTTTTTAAACTATTTTGAAAAAAATAACATACTGTATTTAAGCAAAAAAAGCTTCATATTTATTTGAAAAACAAGACAAACGAAAAAAATAATTCTATACTTTATTTTTTTCCAAGATAGATTTTGACATTGTCAACTTTGAAACATAAACAATGCCGCTAATGCCACTTATTGGCCGCTATTGTAAAACTGATGTCAACCTGCAGAAACACCTCATTTTGCGACCAATCAGGGTCAAGCGTTATTGTTTATGTTTTAAAGTTTTCAATGTCAAAATCTATCTTGGAAAAAAATAAAGTATATATAGAGTGCGAAATATGTAATTATGAAAGAATGTACATAAGTGTAAAAATAACTATATTTTAGTCAATCTTGTTCCAACTTTCGTTTACATTATTTTCACCATTTGAATTTTGTCCACCTTCTTCTACATTTTTCTGCACCGCTTGGGAGAAGTTGTGTCATTTTCTTTGAAAAAGTCCACACAGTCAGGAAGGACGCTGCGTATTGAATGATGCGTGTAGACAATGTAGACTATTGTAGATATGTAAAAACTACCTATCCACTTGAACGCAGTTACAAAACGACAAGTGAAAACTCTGTGCTTTTATTTTCAAGAGTCATGTAAATGAATTCGGATTACTGAATCAAGTGAAATCCGGATTACAGAGTACATCAAGGGAACGAAAATGCGATGCGGATTACAGAAGCATACAGATTATCGCGGGATCGGATTATCGCGACACTACTGTATTATTTAAAAAAAATGAATTTGAATCACCCATTATTATCTTTTCAAAAGTATTTATATATGTACTAGAAAAAGTAAAATAATAATAAATCTTACATATTTTTTTTGAAATTTTATAGGTTCCCTAAGTTTCTTCAGCGTCCCGCTCGGATGTTTCGCATCGCGCATAGCCACAAAACCATTTGGAAGAATTAGATCCATGCAGTTGATATCCTGTTTATTCTTTGGAGCTTTCCTAATATTTTATTTTGCTTCACAAGCCTGGCACGTATTTTTAGGCTTATTTTTAACAGGATTTACTGGAGGACTTTTGGAAGCACCAGTAAGCATTATTTCTATGATTTTATGCAAATAATAATTCAAAAATATGCTTTCAGACACTAATATATGCAGTTGAAATAACTGAACCAGGACTACGAGGTGCTCTGATCTCAACTACAAATTTAGCTGTTTGCTTAGGAATTCTGCAATCTTTTATTTTAGGTTCTATTTTTCCATGGAGAACCATGGCACTGATAAATAGCTCATTTCCCTTGGCAACAGTGTTTTTGTTGTTTCTTATACCAGAACCAGCTCAGTGGTTAATTAGAAGTGGGAATTTCGATAAGGCCAGGAAAAATTTGGCTTGGTTGAGAGGCTGGACTACAATTAGAAATATTGAGAAGGAGTTTCAAATAATGGTAGATGAAATTGAGAAAAAAAAATTAGAAAAAAAACAAACTATCATCGAATCGGCAAAATCCTTTTTACGACCGACATTTTTAAAACCATTTGGTCTTATATGCTTAGCATCTCTTCTGTCAAGTTTTGGTTTGTTCCATACTGCATACGCAGTCAACTCGTTCGAGCTTCTACACGCTCCAATTAACTCCTATCACGCGACAATCCTACTAGGAGCTTTACAGCTATTAGGAAGCATTTTGCTCATGATCTTAGTCAGATTTCTAGGCAAACGTTTACTTTTGTTTATATCGCAATCAATAATTTTTGTTGGATTTTTATTTGCTGGAATTTACGCTTATAGCGCTGGAGCTAACTATTTCGACTCAGCTAGTAACAATCTGAACGAAGCCATTGTTAACAAGTACAGTTGGGTGCCGTTAACTTGCATTGCAGCTACCAACTTCTGTAGCTTTTTAATGCCTATAACATTACCATTTATGCTTATGGGCGAACTATATCCAAACGATATTAGGGACGCTGCTGCTGGGATGAGCGCAGCGGCTGGATACTACATAGGTTTTCTGGTTAATAAAACATTTTTGACTCTAGTAAACGTGGCGACCTTAGCGGGAGTTTTTTGGATTAATAGCTGTGTAACCCTAATTGGGATTCTGCTAATGTATTTTCTGTTGCCTGAAACTGAGGGAAAAAATTTGCATGAAATAACTGAACATTATGCTGGAAGAAGGAAGCTGACTAATAATGTTAGAAGGAAAGGGGGACTAGATAATGAAGGGTTTGAAGGTGATGATGAAAGTAAACTTTGATCGTTTTGAATTAAAACAAATCAATAACAGGGTTGCGCAGAGGAAACTTATGTTTTCTGAATTTTACATGTTTCAAGAGCGGTTGGAGGCTCGACTCACATTACTTTTCATCATTAATTTAAAAGTGTTATTATTATGTATTTCATTTAGCTGTAATTAGAACAAAATTATATGTTATGCTTACGTGAAAAGTGAAAAACATCCGTTTCCTCTGCGCCACCCTGCATATTGAGAATAATTGAATTTTGTTCATCAACGCTATAATTTTTGTCAAATATAGTGTTTCTGTATTAAGAACATTAAGTGAAATAGTCATAATATTAGCTTCAAGGGGTTGAAAGCTGAAACAGTGTTGGGAAGGGCTAAAAAATCTTCGGCTGTTCGTCAGGAGAAATTTTTGTGAGATCAAAAAATATTGTATTGGGTTGAGTGGGTCATACTTTAAACGTTCTATCTTCATGTTATAATAATATATAAGATAGTCGCGATTTTTTTATCGGTATTTTTGATGAATATTTTTTAAGTCTATATCAAAAAATTAAACAAATTTTGTTAAACTTGTTTTGCATTTTTTTTTCTAATATTTTGTCCTGATGTCCTCTGATGCGGTGTCTGTCTTAAGGTACGGTTTGTTAGGAGAGTACGCGTCGCACAACTGACAACGTAAACGTCGTCATTGCTTCAGGTATGACCATAGGTATGACGTAGACCCGTTTTCTCACGTCAGAAGACGGGTGTACGTCATACCTGAACCAATGACGACGTTTACGTTGTCAGTTGTGCGTCGCGTACTATCCTAACAAACCGTACCTTTACAATTTCTTGGTGCTAGAAAGCCCTAAGACAAAATAAAAAAGGTAATTTTCAAAAGTTTTAACATCAATGACCTAGCACACAAAGAAAATGATAAAAGAGTTATTTTTGTATATAGTGCGCGAAATGTCATTTTGGTGAACAAGAACGAATCGTTCGAGTTCACCAAAAACATTTCGCGCACGAGTTGCAAACAAATAAATATTTTCTACAACTGTCAAACAAAGATGATGTTTGCACACTGGTGACAATTTGCAAAGTGACGCTTTTTTTCCATGTAGATTTTTTTTTAACGTTCCCATGACGCCGTGACCGAAATGATTCTCCAGTGTGCGAAATGAGTCAGGTAATAAATACCTGACAGAAAATCAAAAATAATTAAAATTCACCTGCCTTTGATTGTGAATGCAGTTGTAGCTTCGAATGATCGATATTTGAATGGAGTTGTAGAAAATAGTTATTTTTGTATCTAGTGCGCGAAATGCCATTTTGGGGAACGAGAACGAAAGTTCATCGTAAAATCGTTCGAGTTCACCAAAAACATTTCGCGCACGAGTTGCAAACAACGTTTTTTCTACAGACAGAGTTGAAATAATTTCGAGTAATATATATATATATAATATATATATTGGGAACTACAAATTCTTCTGCAATTTCTGTTTTTGATCAATATTTTTTGCCGAAATGATGCCACGTCGGTCACACCTTTTATATATAGTTATTTTTGTATCTTGTGCGCGAAATGCCATTTTGGTGAACGAGAACGAAAGTTTTTTGACGACGCGCAGCGGAGTCAAAAAATCGTTCGAGTTAACCAAAAATATTTCGCGCACGAGTTGCAAACAACGTTTTTTCTACAGACAGAGTAATATCAAAATCAAATAATTCAAGGAAATTCTATTTCAGAACAGCCTGTTAAATGGTTGCTATGGAAAAAAAAATTAATAAATAATGACACACCATGCACCATGACATACTGCTTGTCAAAAGTTTTTTTCCCAAGGTCTGACCGACGCGGCATCATTTCGACAAAAATGTTGATAAGAAATAGAATTTGTAGAAGAATTTGTAGTTCCCAATATAATAATACAGCTAGTTCTGCAATTGCAGAAAACCTTTTGACCGAAAAATCAAAAAATGATGTTCGCACAAAACCGTCAAAAAAGTGAGTGAAACCCTAATTCTAATGTATTTCGAGGGTGAATCGAAAAAGTTCAATATCCTGCTCTTATTCAGTTTAAGTGGGTAGGTACCCCAGAAAATATGAGGTAAATTTTCGTCCATTTATGTATTTTTGAAATATCGCCTCTGAGCGTGCACGAAGTATTTCGTGCCCTAGTGCGCGAAATATTTCGTGCACGTCGTTAAGGTAAATAAAACCAATGTGGCATTTTTCGAACAGAAATGAGTGTGAAAATGTCATCATTTTTTGACGTCTGTAGAAAAAATTAGCTATTTATACAATAAGTTACGAAATGAGCGTCTTTTAGGCACGCGACGTGAAAATTGTCAACACGTCGAGTGACTAAAAGACATCGTTTCGTAACGTATTGTATACAAGATTTTTTCTACTGGCATTTTATAATAAAAAAACACAATTTTATTTCATGTGAATAAGTCGATTACACCCAAAATCTTTGTTACCTGCTTTTACTTGACACCTGACACTTTTCATGCGATTTTCTTTTCAAAATTCGACATCAATAATTAAAATCCTAGAAAGTAGGTAATAACACAAACTTCTGTTTTGAGTAACCCAAACGTTCAATTCAGTAATTCCATTTTCAATATTCATAATAAATACAAAACAAAATTCAAATATGTGTTTAGTGTGTTTTTTATTTCTGAATAATGAATGACACTTTTAGGCACTAGTGCTTAAAAATTACTTTTACGCACTCATAAGTCACTTTTACGCATTCAAAAGTCACTTTTACGCACTGAGTGCCTAAAAGTAACTTTCACGCACTCAGTGCCTAAAAGAATGTCGTTTCAAAACTGAAATGACAATCGAAAAGTTGCTATTATGAAACGTCAGTAGAAAATAGTTATTTTCCTAACAAGTGCGCAAAGTGTTACTTTTCCACACGCAAACACAGTTATACGAACGACGCGAAGCGGAGTTCGGATACGTGTTTGCGTGCGGAAAAGACACTTTGCGCACGGGTTAGGAACAAAATTTTTCCTACGAGCTTCATATCAGGTAGGTAATAACAAAAATTAAAAAAAAAAAAATGATAATTTGTTTAATTATTTTAAAATAACTTGAAGGGAACCTATGCATTTATCAAAAAATTACATAACAAAAAAAAAATAACAGAAAATCCTCGTCAGAGCTGTTCATCTTAAAGCGTTTGATGAGAAAGTTTGTAGATTTTTGCATATAAATAGAGAACAAATCTGACAATGTGTCAAAGTTAATTTATTTTTGGTGTTTGTATAGATGTTGGCTAATATAGAAACAGAGGAAAAATTTGTCATCATGTGTCAAAGTCGACAGGTGCACTTATTGTTGCTTGACAATTATAATTACTTTTCGGCACTCAGTGCGGATAAGGCCTGTATCCGCACTGAGTGCGGAAAAGTGTAACTTTGAGCCCGGAAATGCGTGCGGAAACGTACTACTTTGCGCACGCTCGTAGGAAATAGTTATTTTCCTAACAAGTGCGCAAAGTGTTACTTTTCCGCACGCAAACACAGTTATACGAACGACGCGAAGCGGAGTTCGGATACGTGTTTGCGTGCGGAAAAGACACTTTGCGCACGTGTTAGGAACAAAATTTTTCCTACGAGCTTCATATCAGGTAGGTAACAACAAAAATTTAAAAAAAAAACGATAATTTGTTTAATTATTTTTAATTAACTTGAAGGGAACCTATGCATTTATCAAAAAATTACATAACAAAAAAAAAATATAACAGAAAATCATCGTCAGAGCTCTTCATCTTAAAGCGTTTAATGGCGATTTCCATTTGTCATCAGTGCCGCACTGAGTGCATCCGCATCTTTTTCTAAAAGCATGTAACATGTAAGGATAAGGATACATTTTTTTGCCCTGTTTCGACAAATGGAAAATGCTATAAATTTGATGAGATAGTTTGTAGATGCATATATATAGAAAACAAATCTGACAATGTGTTGAAGTTAATTAAATTTGGTGTTTGTAGGTATAGATGTTAGCTGGAACAGGAACAGAGGAAAAATTTGTCATCATGTGTCAAAGTCGACAGGTGTACTTATTGTTGCTTGACAATTATTTTTACTTTTCGGCACTCAGTGCGGATAAGGCCTGTATCCGCACTGAGTGCGGAAAAGTGCAACTTTGAGAACCGAAATGCGTGCGGAAAAGTACTACTTCGCGCACGCTCGTAGGAAAAATTATTTTCTACAACGTTCAAAAAAAGATGATGTTTGCACACTGATGACAATTTGCGAAGTGACACTTTTTTTCCCAGGTATGGATTTTTTGATGTTCCCATGACGCGGTGCGCGAAATGCTTCTCCAGTGTGCGAAATGCCTAGTTCGCACAATCAGGTAACAAATACCTGATATCTGACAGGAAACCAAAAATAATTAAAATTCACCCGCCTTTGATTGTAAATGCAATTTTAGCTTCGAATGATCGATATTTAAATGGAGTTGTAGGAAAAATATTGTTTGAAACTCGTGCGCGAAATACTTTGGTGATCAAGAACTGATTTTCTTAACGAGGCGCAGCCGAGTTAAAAAAACAGTCGAGCATTTCATGAACTAGATACAAAAATAACTATTCACTTCTCCAGTGTGCGAAATGCCTAGTTCGCACACTGGGTCAGGTATTTGTTACCTGACAGGAAACCAAAAATAATTAAAAAATCACCTGCTTTTGATTGTTAATGCAATTTTAGCCTTGAATGATCAATATGTAAATGCAGTTGTAGAAAAAATATTGTTTGCAACTCGTGCGCGAAATACTTTGGTGATCTCGAGTTAAATACTCAAACCAGTGGAATGCTTTATAAAAAAGATTTATTTTAATAAGACAACTAACTGGTACAGTGTGTGACTAAAGACTAAACTTATTCTGTGTAAAAAGCTCCCATGAAATAATAAAATACGAAATATGCTTATTTCTATGATTATGCTGAGTCGAGCTATATATTCCTGGTATTGGCAGTTTACGTATTGGTTCATGTCTATAACTCTT